GGGGCCACACATGGCCCACAGAGCACACTTCTGTGGCCCCTGGAGTGCCCCCATCCACAAAAACTCTCCCAAAGTTTTTTTTAATGTTCATTTTAATTGTCAGGCAATTTCTCTCCTCAAACACATGGGGAAATGTGAAAATGACCTCAATGCAACTTCCACAACACTCAAGGATTATTAAATATCTCCATTTTCCTCTGTAGTCCCTCTCAAAATGGCAGCAGAGGGTGAGGTGGCATCACTTCCTATCAGATGAATGCAGGCTTTAGGTGAAACACGGGGGGTTGGATGGAGCATCCATGGGTGAACCAGACTGAAGACCAGAGGCTCCCCAGTTCTGCCAGTTTCAGTCTATGGAAGGGGTGCGCAACAGAAGCAGAAACTGCGGAGCATCCAGTGAAATCCACAGAAGAAGCTGGAGACACATCTCAAAATAACCCAACACAATTCAGGATTGTGTAAGGCCTTCTTTTTATTGTTGTTGTGTGCCTTCAAGTTGTTTCCAACTTATGGTGGCCCAAAGGCAAACCTATGATAGGGTTTTCTTGACAAGATTTGTTCAGAGGAGGTTTGCCATTGGCATCCTCTGAGACTGAGAGAATATGACTTGCCCAAGGTTACCCAGTAGTCTACCACAGCCAAGTCAAGATTTGAACCCTGGTTTCATAGTGTCCTAGTTCAATGCTCAACCATTATTCCATACTACCGTATTTTTATTCTGACTCTCTGCTAAACAGATGCCATGAAAAGTGGGCTCTGAGGCAGCATATGGTCAACAAGGTCAAACTTTCCCCATCCTGCTCTATTACCTTTGAATTTCAGAAGTTTTCACCAATGACCTGCAAAACTGATTCCATTCTAGATAGTCTGATCCTGCCTTTCTGTTTGGGTGGCCATTATTTATCAAATCAAATAGCATCACGTTTTTGCATGTCAGAAGGACGCAACATCATAAACAAGCAAAGGCCTCCCTTGGCTGTTCTTCTGGGATAGCCTGGTGCACGAAGTGATTTTTCATTCCCATAGACAGTGCCTTTTATTGTGGATGAATTGTACAAACTACTCACAGGAATAACATCAATACCAAAACAAAAATGGTGGGCGGGTGCGAGGTGGAGGGAGAGCATTCCTGCTGTAGAAAAATAACCTTAATGACAGCCAAGCTGCTCTGAGGATGGGATCTACTTTTCTCCGCCACTGGAGACAAAGAGGAGAAAAGAATCCAATAATGCAACACAGTCGGTGGTTGGCTTTGGTTCAAAGGGCTCAGCCAGCTGTTGCAAAAGAGATTTACTGGTGCTAAAAGATAGCTCTTTTGCCTCATCTTTGTCCCTTTTACAACACACATACTCATTCTGCTTAATTGGACCTAGCTGTAGTTTGGATTTGGGCAATTTTGAGAGGATACGGCTCAGCCCGGTAGGAGCAGATTTCATAGCTTCACAGGTTATGAGAGAGAACAATCAGGGCTTTTAATAGAATAAAGGCCATAGCTGTCTGGCAACTTGTTGGGAGTGCAATTGTATGAGAGATGATGGCATACCAGTAGGGCTCTCCTTGGGCACCAATTTTTCCAATGCAATTGTGGCAACAGTGGCATGAAAGGGGAGATTGGTTGTGGTAGGAATTTGGGCACATACTGTGGGCTATATCGAAGTGGCCTATATGTTTTGTTGTTATGTGCCTTCAAGTTGTTTCCAACCTATGGTGACTCTATCACAGGGCTTTTTTGGCAAGCTCTGTTCAGAGGGAGTTTGCCAATGCCCTCCTCTGAGGAGGAGAGTGTATGACTTGGCCAAGGTCACCCAGTGGGTTTGCATGGCCATGTGAGTATTCGAACCCTGATCTCCAGAGTCTTAGAGACTTATCGCATGAGAAAAATAAACCAAAATGGAATGGGAGAATAGCGGCTTTCCCCATGCGTCTCCACATGATGTTGTAGCATTTTCATTCTTTTCCCAAGGGAGATGGTAATAAAAGCATGCCTTTTGTCAAACAGATTCTTTCCAGTTTGACAAAAGACACACTTTTACGACCACCTCCCTCAGGAAGAGAACAGAAGTAATATGATGATATGCAGAGAGGCACAGAGAAGCCCGCTACTCTCCTGTTCTATTTCAGCTTTCTTTTTTTCATGCGATAAGGCTTTTAGTCCAATAGTCAAACCACTGCACCACACTGGCTCTATATGTGCCATAGCATCACATAAAAAACAATAAGATGAAACCCTTTTCATTTCCCTCCCTTTTAGTGATGTTCCTCCCCTGTGTCACAGAAATTATATACAAGGACGCATCCTCCACATTTCCCCAAAGTGGCCTGTGGCACATTGCTTTGTGCACAAACAGAGCTATATAAAGGCAGGCCAATAATGTCATTTTTGTTAGAAATAAAATGCAGCATTCCTCAGTGTGTGTTGGCAGCTCTAAAAGCCAAGTGCAGCCACTGCAGAAGAATCAGCTGGCCTTCAGCCCTCATCCCAAGGGCCAAAAGAGTTCTGCAAAGTAGAAGGGAGAGAGAGGAGGCAGGTGGCTCTGCTGTCAGGAAGCCTGTGAATCTGCTCTGAGCTTTTTGTTTGAACCTTGAAGGATCTGCCCAAGGTACTGAAGGTCTATCCCAAATAGATTCAGCATCTTGGCTAGCTGATTTAGAATTTTGATTAATGGATCTACTGTCCTGGTAACACTGAAGCCCACCTCCCCTGGGAACAGGTCTTGCTCATATTCCTCCTGCTTTGGGGAATGACTTCCTTCCCTCCTGCTTTCAGGGTTGAGACAATGAATCAGCTTTGGTTTTTAGTCTGCATCTGCTCTGCAGAATTAATGCAGTTTCACAACCACTTTAACCCAGAATTCCATAGCATTGAGCCATGGCAGTTAAAGCAGTGTCAAAATGCATTATTTCTGCAGTGCAGATGCAGCCTCAATCTGTCCAGTGAGTTCTCCAAAGTGCTGATCTCTATCCCTTCCCCATCAATTCAACACCGTACCTATCTTCCTTCCAAGCTCAGACCAAAACCCCAGAGTGGATTCACTGCCCCTTTGACACGGAACGCACCAGTTTCCACTGTCTTGCACCAAATTGACCTTCAGGCAAACCGATCCTGACCAGAGCATGAGGCGGCATCGCTAAACTTGGACACGATGAGCTGAATTAAAGAATGTAGGCATGCTACTTCAGGCAAGATGGATCTCTGGCTTTGCCACAGTGACCCTCCTATGGTCTAATAATTTTTGGGCCTCCCTGAATACTACTGGAACAACAGACTTAAAAGTCAAGCAATTTATTAGAATGCATAAAATATGGGGAAAAATTAAAAGAGAGGGATGGTGAGCTGGCAGTGTTAATCTTTTTCCCTTCTTAAAGTAAGTGCCTTAACAAATCAAGTTAAATGGGGTAGGTAATATAACTCTTCCTGACAACTTAAGTAATGCTTCTGTGCCTCCAGAAAGTGAATTTCATACATATAGACACACACATGCATCCTTTGATCACTCTTCCCCATGGTTCTCTCCAAACACAATTTGCAATCTGTTTCTACAATCCTAGTGAATTCAGTGATGCACAGAAGGCACAGATGAACAGTTAAGCACCAACCAGTAATGCTGAACCACACAGGCTGAGATCCTGTTGGTTCATCCCAACTAGATCAGATCCATTTGAATAGTGAGCCAACACATGCGTAAACCCAACTAATTCAATTGTTCGCCTCTAGTTGGGACTAACAAGAGGCTTCAGCCCATCTGAAATGGTTGTGTGTGTGTTTGTTGTATGCCTTCAAATCGTTTCCAACTAATGGTGACCCTCTAAGGTGAACTTATCATGGGGTTTTCTTGGCAAGTCTCTTCAGAGGGGGTTTGCTTTTGCCATCTTCTGAGATCAAGATCACCCAATAGGTTTTCATGGCCGAGTGGAGGATCTAGCCCTGCTCTCCAGAGTCACAGTCCAATACTCAAACCAGTGCGCCATGCTGGCTCTCAGTTGAAATGGCTACACTTGTGGAATTCTGCTTATGCACCATGAACACAATATGTCCATTGTACAACAGCCCCAAAAGTATAACTACACATGTCAAGGAACTTAGACAGGTTTAGGAAACAAACAGAAGTCTGTCAGTTGAGTAAAATGTAGAGCTCTCCTATGGTTAAGATTGTTGGAATGGGAGCTGGGAGATCCAGGTTAATAATAATAATTTATAATAATAATAATAATTTTTATTTTTATCCCACCCCTCTGCAGCGCAATTGGGGCGGCGTACAACATGTTAAAACAAGATCCAACAACCCCTTCCCTAACCCACCCACCCCTTAAAAATATATTAAACTAATGCAGAATTAAAATACTGAATGAATAAAAACATACAATTCTTTAAAATAGCAGCTCGACTAAACAATGGCGGTTGGAGGAGCGAAAAGCCAGAGTCTTTGTCTTCTTGGCCGGGACATTATTCAGGAAAGGTCATAGAATCATAGAATCATAGAATCATAGAGTTGAAAGCGACCACAAGGGCCATCCAGTCCAACCCCCTGCCATGCAGGAACT